AATGCGTCGACGGCGAATGCGTCGGGGTGCGGTATCTTGGAGCAGAAGCGCTGAACGTGATTGTTCTGAACGTTAGCAAAGAGATCAATTGTGTGAGGCCCCCAGCGTCGTTCCAAGAGGCGAAACCAAGGTGCATGTAGGGAGTAGTCGTCAAAATCTTGCATCTTGGATAGGTCATCCGCATGGGCGTTGAGCTCCCTCGGAATCCATTCGATCGCGAGGCGTGTTGTGTTGCCGAGGCAGAACTGGATGATCGCTTGGCATGTCGACGTAAGATCCGCCTGACGGGATCCCCCCTTGCGCAAGATAAACATGACTGCCTGGTTGTCCACCCGGACGAGGACGTGAGCGCCCACGATTTGGGTTGCGAACGTCCGCAGTGCCCAGAGCACTCCCTCGAGCTCTCGCCGCGTACTAGATGTGGGGAGAAGCCCTTGTGGCATGCACTCGCTTGCCTCGCATGATGTACTTGGGAACTTGGCCAAGGTGGCACCCCAGCTGTGCGCGCTCGCGTCGACGTGTATCACTGCATCAAAACGCTGACTCTGGTGGAATGGGGCGCCATTGAAACGATCAAAGTGCATTGTCCAAAACAGCAGCTCCTCGGTCGCTTCTGGTGACAATAAAACCTTTGAGTTCCATGACCATGCGGAGTCGATCAAGTGGAGCAGCTCATGGCTGAAGGCCCGCGCCGTCGTGCCCAGCGCGAGCGACATGGAGCTGAGAAATCCAGTGATCCGGGCTATCTTGCAAATCGGCACTTGACGACCCGATTGCCCTTTTTGTATAAGTAGGTGGAGCTCCTGCAGTAGTTGTTCGCGCCGATCCTTTCCGACCAGGAACATCCCTCGTTCCGTGTCAAGCTCCATCCCCAAAAAGCGCAAGTGGTGTGCTGGATGCAGGTGTGATTTCTTAGAATTTATCACGAATCCTGCCGCCTTCAAGTCGTGGAGAACTTCGACGCACGTCGAACGGGCTTGCGCCTCGGAGTTGCAGAGGAATAGTAGATCGTCCACGTATGGTATTACGCGCACTCCGCGCGCGCGCCATCTCTTGGCTAGTTGCTTAATAAGCTGGGTGAAGATGAACGGGGCTGTTGCCAGGCCGAAAGGTAAGGATGTGAAGCAATAGAATTTTCCGCCCAATTGAAAGCCCAAAAACTTCCAGCATGATGGGTGGATTTCGACGTGGTGGTAGCCTGACTTGAGATCGATTGTGAACATCCAGTCGTGTGGGCGAATGATTTCCGCGACCCGACTCAAGCCTTCGTACTTGAACTTGGGAACTTGGAGGTGAGCGTTGACCTTCCGCAGGTCAAGGATGAGCCGGCATTTGTCTCGTTGCTCCACAACATTGAGCGGGCTGATGCACGTCAGTGCGGCTTTCGACGAGACATGCATCGCGGCGCCTGACGCGATGAGGTCGCTAACCGTGTCTTGGGTGAATGCCATGTGTGCTTGAACGCCTGCGTGATTGGGCGCTTCGAAGGGGAGAGGCTCTGTGCCCTTCCATGGTAGCCAGTACCCTTTGGCAATGATGGAAAGGATAAGACTGCTGTCGCACCATGATAGCCACCAATGGAGGCTGTTGCGCAATCGCATTCGCATGATGGACACCATGTTGTCCGTTATTGCGTGCTCGTATGGGTCCCAATGAGCACTCCGCCACTCGCCTTCCACTTCTGCAATTAATGGGCAACCGAGGTTGTGTGGGGGGGGACCAGGGCCAAGGTCGATTAGATGCGAGATAATACGGGACACTTCGTCGGGCAAACTATGTCGCTTGTCTTCTACCGCCGTCGTGCCTCCCCGCACTCCCGGGTTTTTTTTTTTTTTTTTTTTTTTTTTTTTTTTACTTTGCTTGCGCAGTCATCAGCTTTAATACCCTTGCAAGGTTTTTTTTTTTTTTTTTACATTGCCTTACAACGAGATCGGCGCATTTGCGTCACTTGGTCCCACGACCTTGTTCCTCACGAGGTCGTCATGATAGTTCCTCTCTCTCTCTCTCTCTCTCTCTCTCTCTCTCTCTCTCTCTCTCTCTCTCTCTCTCTCTCTCTCTCTCTCTCTCTCCCTCTCTCGCTCTCTCTCTCTCTCCGTCTCCCTCTCGCTCTCTCTCTCTCTCTCTCTCTCTCTCTCTCTCTCTCTCTCTCTCACTCTCTCTCGCTCTCTCTCTATCTCTCTCGCCCTCCCTCGTTCTCTCTCTTTCTCTCTCTCTCTCTCTCCCTCTCTCTCTCTCTCTCTCTCTCTCTCTCTCTCTCTCTCTACCTCGCTCTCTCTCTCTCTATCTCGCTCTCCCTCCCTCTCCCTCGCTCTCTCTCTCTCTCTCTCTCTCTCTCTCTCTCTCTCTCTCTCTCTCTCTCTCTCTCTCTCTCTCTCTCTCTCTCTCCTTTGTTCTTCTCTCGGTCCTTGCTTTGTCTTGCACTCCTGGCCAATTCCTCCTCTGTGGCTGCCTTCCTCAAGAGGGGGCTGATGTTTTATTTGTTGTGCCATTTGTCTTCTCGTTTCGTGTTGGCTCCCTTTCTCTCTCTCCATTGTTCGTTTTTTTTTTTTTTTTTTTTCAATAACAACAATCTTTTATTAATCCACACAAAGGCATACAAGCCAAGCCTACACCATAACCAGCCCCTACGGCTGCCATCTTGCCCTGGCCCCCATGGCCTATCCTACTCCCCAAGGCTCCTAACCAGCCTACGCACCACCGGTGCATCCACCTACGCCCCCCGGCATAGTGGCAAGGGGCGCCGCCCCATGGGTCCTCTCACACCACGGATGCGGGACCTTGTGCGCCACGCCCTCCCATAGGGCAATTATTTGCCATATGGCCGGGCTGGCCGCAACGGAAACACACCCCCTTGAAGCGGGGCTCGTGGCAGCCCGCGGGTGGCATGCCTTTGCTTTCCGGTTCACCGTCTCGAGGGGGAAGGCGGCCTCCGCGGGCGAAGCCGGTACGTGCACGCTTGAGGGCCGCCACGTCGGCTACCGCGAGCTTGTAAGAGCGGGATGTGAGCACGCTCTTGGCTTGGTACAGCTGGAACCGATCCGCCGCTTCGAAACCGGCCTCATCCGCCACCAAGAGCACCTCGAAGCGTTTGTTGATCAACGTGTCGATTTGCTCCACGTTGGAGAGCGCGCCCTCGACGTCGCCGTTTTGGAGCTTGAACTCGACGTGCCTCAGGTGAGCTTGAATTGCAGAGAACACCTCCGCCTGGTCACGCACTCCCTTGCGCATGAAGGTAGTAGCTGCGGGTGAAGGGTTGAGGGGGGGAAGGGGAGGTGCGGGTGCGAGAATGCGACGACGGGCAAGGTTGTCGGGGGCCTCACCGTCTTCATTTTCTGAGTCGTCGCTGTCTTCGGGGATACGGGCTTGGGTTGGTGCCGGAGCTGGGGTGGGAGCAGGAGCAGCGTTGTTGGTGCGAGCGATTTTGGTGGAGCGGGGAGCCGCGACAGGTTCCTTCTGCTTTTCGATTTTAGCTGACGCAGAAACTTCTTCAGCTGATGTAGCTGCAGTCGACGGTGCGTGCTGCTGCAATAACGAGAGCAGCGCCTGTAGTTGCTGCGCGGTCAAAGGGGTGGGGGCGGCGTTGACCGGGGTGACGTCAGCGGAGGGTGCCGCGCGCTGGCGTTTCTGGGTCGTGGGCCCGGATGGACCCGCGTCAGCGCCGGTCAAGACGACCGCCGCGTCAGCGGCGGTCGTCGTCTTCTGCGCAGCACGCGCGTGCCTGCCAGGCACGCGCTCTTCAGCAGCAGCCACGCGCGACTGTACAACAGTCGCGCGTTCCTCAGGGGGGGTCCGAAGGGTGCCTCCGAGCAGGAGGTCGACCGCGGAGGGTCCCTCGCTTGAAATTTCCTCGGCAGGACGTTTTCCGCCGCGACGATCCGTTGTCACGGCCGGAGTCGAGGTTTCCGCCGCGTTACCGGGGCTAGAATTATTCGAATTGTCGCGGTTAAGTGCCGGGTTGACCGGAGCCATCGTTGCGAGGTTGCGCTTTAGGATGTCGTTAAGGAGCGTTGACGGGGCAGTGAAACGCGGAAGCGACTGAGTCTTCGCCAGTGTGGACGAGAACGAAATTAGAACTACAATTTTGAAAATGAAAACGTGGGTGGGGACGAATGTCCCCACGTCCCTCTTTTGTAGGCAATAGAGGGTGAGTAGCGCTTCGGCTCTACCTTTGCTGTGTTGGCCACGTACCCCTTTTCACAATACAAAATTTTAGAAAGTGTTACATTTCATTACACTTTCAAAAATTATCATTATGCATCACGGAATAAACAGTTACGCGTTCACAGTTCATCATTTGGGCAACTCATGAAATATAGGTTCAGTCAAAGTAAACTAGGAAATGAGAAGGAATGTGGTTCAGCACATGGTAAATTGACGCGGCAGATACATAGCAGTCAGTCACTTAGCTAGTACGGTACCGTTCACTTTATTTTTTCCATCCTTTATTTTTTAAAATATTGAGGATTGGAAAAAAAATTGTACATAACGATCGTAATAGGTTGCTTCGCAACCCAATAATAGGTTGCTTCGCAACCCAAAAATTCAGAGAGGTAGCATGCACCATCAGTTGAGAGTGGATTTATAATAGCAATTCAGACAAAACATTTGAGAAGGATAGGCACTCATATTAGTTATATTGAGGACATAAAGTCTTAGCACGCACCAAGCTAAGCATGTATGTGCAGACAAGGTTCTGATATGATGAAGGCACAAGACTGACATTGTCATTCAGATCCATGCATCATGTACAGCATTCAAACTGCTCCTGCACACCCCAGCTTACCACGTCAAACCTAAAGTAACTTAGCATGGAGGTGAAAAGCAAACATGCATGTCAGTTATGTGTGGATGAAACAAGATTATGTAGGAAGGTAACCAAAGAAGCATTGCGCAAGGAGACATTGATAACTTGACAAGATCCGCTGGATTCCTCCTGCAGCCAGTCGTTATTCGCATGCTGGTGGTGATGTGCTTGTATCCATGACCCCGCTGTCATGCTTTCAGTACCATGGCCTGGAGGACAAGGGGATTAGACTAGCAACAATGCATGAGTTCAGAAGACTGTTAAGATGGTTCATTAAGAGTCTTAACACCCAGCCAACCTCCTCACTCTCTCCCTCCTGACCCTCACCCGAACTTCTCTTTCACAACACTCACTTCTTGAGTTCCTTGGGCAAGTCAAACACCTTCTTCAAATGCTTCGACGAACGCCTGTCCCCTCTATAGCACAGCACTCGCAACAACGTATTAGCATCCGATGGACACCACTCCTCCGGCACCGGCGGCAGCACCAGGTTCCCCTTCGCATCCTTCCCTCCTGCACCGCCTCCAGGCACCGTCCGCAAAAACTCCTTATAAGCAGCATCAAACTTCCTGATAATGTCGTCGGTGTCGCGGCTCATGAGTGTGACGATGGAAGCAGCCGGGGCGAGGGCAGCCTGGACCTTGTCAGCAGGGAGCCCATCGCCTCCGTCTATGAAGAGCTCAGAGAGGAAGCTCAGGTCCTCCTTCAATGCTGGCACCTCCGGCACCTGGTGGGGGAAGAGAAGCGAAAAGGGTGGCCACACGAGGATTCACGGGGATGGCAAGGCCCGAGAGCAGAGGAAAATATGAATCAGGAAGTGAAAAGTGATCTAAAGGAGCTTCTTGCTTCCCCTGTCCCTTCCCCCCCCCCCCCCAACCTCCCCTCCCACCACCTCCCACAGCATCCCACCGCAGCCAACCGTACCGTGAAGCTTCTCGCCGGCCCGCCAGCGAGCAGGGCGCGCAGGTAGCAGTGCACGAGTGCACGCAGCACCTCAAGCACCACGCGGTCCCTCAGCCCATCATTGATAATATCCGCAATCACCACCAGGTGCGGGTGCAGGCGCTCCAGCACCGCCGCAATGCGCATGCGCGTCGCCGGGCCGCCCGCATACAGAGCATCCACAGCCACGTCCTTGAGCTCGTGGCACACCACGCGGTACGCCACAAACTGGCACAGGTGCGCCATGGCTGTCTCAGACTCGTGCCGCACGTCATCAAACATGCAGATCAGCTCCGAGGGCAGCGGCGGCACCAGAGGCACGTTTGTCTCCACCTGAGGGTCAAAGGGGGAGGGGAAAGAGAGGGCAGGAGTGGGGGGAGGGGAGCAATGAGTTTCGAAGGGTAAGTGGCGGAGCGAGGGAACCTGATAAGTGTACGAGGCATTGGCATGGATAGGCGAAGTTCAAAACTAACAGGAATACCCAGCACATGCCCGCATCCAACTACCTAAGCCTCACCCTTCCCCATATGTATCCGCGGACTCACCTTCTTGAACGAGGGCAGGGGCCAGAAGGACTTCTGCACGGGAGCAGCGGTGGAGGGCGAGGAGGCAGAGGGCGCCATGGCCCTCTCCCATGCACTGCGGATGCGAGCAGCCAGTGCGTCCACCTCATTGTGGATGTGGAACAGCGTGTTGATGCGCACCAGCAGCCGCGGCACCGCGTACCGGTCGCTCTTGCTATCCTTGCCCCCGCCACCCCTGCTGCTGCCGTTGGTGCCATTGGCTGCGGCTGTGGCGGCTGCTGCTGCGAGGATTGCCGCGCCCTTCTCCTGCGCGCCGCCCTCCTTGTAGCGCGTGAGGGGCGGGAACGGAGGCAGGAACTGGGACTTGTCGCCTGCAGAAGGGATGTGAGAGGAGGAAAGCGGTAGACCGTGCACAGTACACAAGGGAGAGAAGAGGAAATTCGTGGTGAGAGTCAAGCGACACATAATGCATGGGTGATGAGAGATGCTGCCCCTGCAACTCAAGTTACATAGGTTCCCATGATCAGCAAAACCCTGCAAAAAAATATCTTCCCATTCTGATTTTTTCCTTTCTTTCCTGTGCACAAAGAACCCACGGTCTTGGTTTCCATCCCTCCACGCGCGTGTGCTTCACCACCCCCGACTCACCCCTCTTCCCTCCCCCCTTCACCCAGCAGCACGCACCAACATGTGCAGTGACGGCCTTGCAGTACTTGAGCAGTGCGGCCTCCATGGCACGCACCACGCTGACGAGCATGTCCGCGCGTGGCGGCAGCGGCAACGCGAAGAAGGCCTCCTGCGTCTCGTCCAGCAGCCCCAGCACGTCCATCACACTCGACGCACAGAACGCCTTCATCGCCTTGGGCTCCCACTTCTGCCACCACCACCAGTAGTGCCACATGCACGCGCGGATACGGGGCAGGGATTGGCGGCGGGGATGGGCGGAGAAGGATTTTGGGGGGGCAGGGATGGGGGAAGATAGAGAATGAGGGGGTGCACGGATATGCCGTACGACTAGAGACGTGCAGTATTTGTGCTCAAAGCATCATCTTGCTGATAACTCCCCTAGTAGCCTCCGCCTGGGTGGCATAACCGCCCTCTAAAGCCTGTGAAGAAATGCTGGCAATGTCAGGCTCCATTCCAATAATTTCACCACTCACTACCCCAGGCCCCTCCAGAGTCACCACACCACACCACACAACACCACGCCACACTCCACCATGCAACGGCGCGCCTTGCTGACCTCGAGCTGGATGGCGCGGTCGACCCACTCGGCGCACTTGGCAATGCGGTTGTCCTGCCACTGCTGCAGCATGACCTCGATGGTGCGCTGCGTCTCGTACGGCGGCATCTCCTGAATCACCTCCGCTCCCCCGTCCTCCGCGTCCGCGCCCTCCTCCACCGCCATCTCTATCAGCTGCTTCTCCAGCTTCTCCGCCTGCAGCAGCACCTGCGGACGGGGAGGGAGAGGGCGGGTGGGCCGAGAGAAAGGAGAGGGTCGGGGCGGGGAGGCGCAGGGGGGGCAGACTTGGCACAAGAAACCTGCGACATAGGGTAGGGATGCTGAAGGGCGAGGGTTGGGAGTACGGAAGTGGCGAGAAAGGGGATGGGTAAACAGGAGGGGGGGATGGGAGTGGGGGAGTGAGGTGAGGGCGTGCATTTTCTCCCCTCGGCTCCTCACCTGAGTCATCTCCACAGACAGCACAGTGCGATCCGCTATAAACAGCTTCAGCTCGTTCTTATAACACGAGTGCACCATGGCGACGGTGAGCCCGCCGGCGTTGGAGTTCCAGGGTCTGAGAGCGGCGGCGTAGCGCCCCACCGAGTCCACGGCCAGCATGCTGCTCTCCGCCGCCAGCGCCACCAGCAGCGGCGGCACCCCCCCGTGCGCCTGCTTCAGCGTCACCTGCCTCTGCGCCGCCGCCTCGCGCACCTGAGGGGTGGAGAGACGGGCGGAGGGAGAGATCAGAGGTGAGCAGGGAGAGGAGGAAGAATGTAGCATGTTCTTTGTGCTGCAGGCGCTGAACCACAGGGAACGCAGAGGCACCCAGCCTTAGCAGCCGAACCCTGTGCGCGACTCACCGCGGAGAACGCCTTCTTGACGGACGACCGCACAAACTGGTCCGCGCGCCTCTTGGGCCCCACGCTGCTGCCCGCCTTGGCGCTCCCGCTTCCGGGCAGCTTCACCCCCGCGCTCGCCGCGCGCTGCGCCGCCGCCACCACCTCCTCGCTCTGCAGCAGCTCGTCGGCGCGCAGCATCAGCCCCGCCGTGGACTCGAACGCGGGCCCGCCGTCGGGGAATTCGTCGTGGTACGCGAGGAGGCGCGGCTCGCCGTACTTGACCATGTGCGGCAGCAGTGTGAGCAGCACCAACACCTGCTCCTGCTGCTGCTGCTCTGTGCTCTTACCCAGTTCGTTCTTCACCTCCGTCTCTACCGCCCGGAGCTGGGGGGGGTGCGCGGAGGTAGGGGGGATGGGATGGGGAGGGAATGCCACCGAGAGGGTTGAGGTATTCTGCTTCCGGCGTCGCGATAAGTATAGCATTCCTAGTTGCAGTCTAGGTCACTCCACCATGGTATTAGTTCTCGTTACGGTATCAAGAAGGCGTTCCAGGTCGCGCAGTTCTTTCCAGGTTTTTTTGCATACGAAATTACTGTTCCCCTTCCCTACATCGCCATTAGGACGCGTTCTATCACATGCATCCACATCAGCATCTCCCCGCAAGTACTCCCTAAAATTCACACTCCCACCTCATCTCCACCAGGAACCAACCCCATGCTCCGTACCCCCGCACCTGGAAACGTTATTGACACTTTCTAAAATGTGACCCCACGCACCTGAAAGTCCGCGGCGACGAGCAGCGCGGGCTCCTTCTGCCCGGACGACACGTAGTGCTTCAGGAACAGCCACGCGAACACGCAGCGGTGCACGAGCGGCGTGATGCCGAGCACGGGCCACACCTTCCCCAGAATCTCCAGCACCTCTTCCAACTCCTCCACTAGCGTCGCCGCCTGCAGCCCCGTAAACACGGACCCTAGCAGCGTCGCGTACAGCCGCACGTTTAGCGGCCACCCGTCCGCCCACCGCCCCTCCGCGGGGAGCCCTCCGCCCTTTCCGCCGCTTGCGAGCGGCATGTCCACCACCGTCGTCACCGCGTTGCGCAGCGCCTGCCGCGCCGCCGTCTCCTGCATGTCCCGCTGCCCCGACGTCAGCTCCGCTATAAGCTGCTTCAATTGTCGCATGGCGCTGTCGGCCTTGTCGCGGTTGTAGCCTTTCGGGGGGGGCGTGGCGGAGGAGGCGGAGGACGATAGGGCAGCGCGGCCCGGATGGCGCGCTGTGGCTTGGTCGAGGAGCATGAGCTGGCGGCGCTTCCAGCGGGAGTAGTCGCGTTGCGAGGGGAAGTCGGCGAAGTTGAGCTGGCACAGCAACTCCAGAGGCACCACCAGATTCTCCGGCTTCTTTGCAGACTGAAAAGGCCGTGATGCACGCAGGACGAACGGGACGGGAGGAGGGTCGGGGCCAGTATGAATGTAGTTTGTAAGGGACATGAAAGTAAGGCAGGAAAGGAGGGGTTAGTGAGGCGACGTAGCACGGAGGGTCAGGAGAAGGAACGCACAACGTGGAGCGAAAGAGATCGCCGATGGGTAAACCTGCTCGTGCAGCCAAAGGGATCTAGTACGTTTGTCAGACAATTCTGGTAATTCTCTCAGCTGGTACGTTGAGGCGGTCAAGAGAAATCCGCGTGAATAGTTTCTTGCGACTTCCTCCGCTTCCCTCACTAGCCGTCCATGAGCAGCACTTGCAACTCGGAGGGTGACAAAGAGCATCTCGTATTACTTACCGCATGTGCGCGTATCAGTGCAGCCCTCGTGCGTTCATCACACGCCTCCGATATATCCAGCTGCCGCCGCACCACATCCAGCGGTGTCAGCGCCGCGGCGCCGTCTTTGCCCGGTTCGCTCCCCGCCTTGAGTCGCAAGACCGCCTTCATCTCGTCAGAAATAATTCCTTTATTCTGCTGCTTCCGCGCCGCCGCCGCGTTGCGGTTGACCGGCGCGGGCTTCGGGCCGACGACATTCACAAGCAATTCATATGCACATTCGCGGAGATCGTCCGACGAGAGCCCGCTTGCAAGCCAGCTGCTGGGGAACGGCGCCTGAAGCGACACTTCTTCCACAGGCGGAGGCGGAAGGTCAGACGCACGGCGGCCCCCGCCCACACGGTCGGATGCTAGACCGCCAAGGTTGCTCAGTCCGCCAAGGCTGTTGCTGTGCCCCATCGCGTGCCGAGCTGCTTCGGGCTCGCGCGCCGATGCGGAGGTGCCGTAGGAGTCCCTGCGAGCTGGAGCTGAGCCAGAGTCCCGGCCATTGGCGGAGCTGCGGCGGCCCGGGCTTGGTTGGCCTCTTTGCGGACTGGGGTTGCCCCGAGTAGGTGCACGAGAAGGGGATTGCTGGCGAGCTTTTTCGGGGCTTTTGGAACGTGGCTTAGTGCGAATCTGAAGCTTGGGGTTCGGGAAATCCATCTCCGCGAACGCGTTGTTGCTAGTTCGCAACGCCATCGCTTCTAAACTGTAGAAGTCGACACAAAAAAAACTACAGGATTGCTCGGGTGGATTCTTCTTAGAGTAAAACCACCGTAACGATAAACATCATCACGTGACTACCGCGGCTGTATGGAACATGAAGAGCTGCGCAGGAGGCAGGGGAGTGAGATTCAACGTAGAAATACTAGCAATCAAGCTAGGACAATCCAATCAGGCTAGAACAATCGCCTGTGCATTCACTATCAAGGGAGGATGACGAGCCCAAGAAGCACGCTCCACAGCATCCCAGAATCCAGGATCGCAGGTAGGGACTAGTCCCGCCCGCAATCGTCGTCGTGAGACGGGCAGTCGATGGAGGTTTGGGGCGGTGCTAGTAAGGTGTGGGGTGGACGCGACGTGTGAAGCAGGTTGTGACTCGTGAGTGAGAGGCTTCCCTCACCCTGGCGGTTGGACGGCTCGATGGAAGCGCCATCCCTCCGAACCTGGTTTTTTAGAAAACCAGCGGCTAAGATCTCGTCTTTAAAGCTCTCAGATGTCGAAGCTGGAATGGGGTGCGAACGAAGCTGCCGTGTGGTGCTTACGCGGTCCGAGCAGCTGACCATCACAGCGCCTTTGCACGTGCTTAGGGAATGATGGAACAGTGGAACGGTCGCAGAAGGATGTTGATCCCGACGGAAGCGGATTCGGATTGGGTCATCGATCCCCAGAGTCCTCTTCACGATCAGTTTTGCGACTCTGCACGAAGCTGCCACGTGGGTGTCTGAAACTGGTTTTGCAACGGCTCAAGCCATCGAGGAGCTTGTCAGCCTTGACATTTCCCGCGCGCGGCTCGTGGGGAGGTCACTGTCAAGCACTGGATGGGTGTGTGTTCAGTTCTAGATTTGCTTACACTCGGCTTTCCACTACCTACAACTGAAATTGGGAAAACGATAAAGAATACTTGATAATGGTTGTGACTGAAAAAGTTGCATGGTTTGAAGTGGAGACCACAGTGCATAGTCATAGCATATAACGAATGAGGAACAATAGAAGTCCATAGTGACTTTGCTTCCCAAATTAGATGCTCACGTTCTGAGATTTCCATAAATACTACAGAAATCCCAACTACGGACTTTCATTGTTCCGCTTCTCAAACTTCGCCATCGCTTTTAAACTGTAGAAGTTGACACATAAGTTTTTTGGACATTACTACAGTTAGGTATTGATTTCCATGAATTTAGCTCTAAGGATAAGAGCACAATTCAGGATTCCTAGATTTCTGACATGGAAACAGCAGCTAATGCCTTTATTAGAGAGAGCCAAATATCATCATGGCCTCCAACTATCCTGCTCTGGTAGACCAGGAAGATTCCCCTCGTTATTGGTTGAGCAGGAGGGTACATAGAGAAAGGACGCGGTGCACGGCCTAGCTCTTCGTCGCTGGGTATGGAATCATGGTCTCACCGACCCAGCTGTTGAGATCCAGCAGCCTTGAGGGGTAGTACCTCCATGTCTGCCGGTATGGAATCTTGCCGGGCTTGGCCCACGCCACTCTGGCTCCTTTGCTACCCGGGCCATACGAGCCATACTCTGCCAAATAAGGCTTGCCGCCCCAGGTGGTCTTCTTGCCACCGCCATAGTCCCACTCCAACCACCCACCAGGGCCAATCACCTGAAACAAGGAAAACAGGAAAGGGCATCCTTACAGCAAAAACCCAACAGGTAAACTGGGCCCAAGGCCATAGAGCGGGAGTAGACGCTGATAAAGGTGATGTGTAGTGAAGGGAGAGATGGGAGTCTCACCGGTCCGAGGTACACGCTGACGAAGATGGATCTTGAGAACGCCCACCACGGCCGTCCCAGGAACCCGTACGTCCCGGCGCTCTCGCCAATCACACGCCCTCTCAAAAACACGAACGCCGACGGGTCCTTCTTCTTGTCACGCCCCTGCGCAGACACACAGCCTTGGTATCCGGGCAGCGGGCGGCGCATGACAAACGTGCAGTCTTCGAACACCGCGGAAGCGACGCCGAAGACGAAATCGATTGACCCCAGCACGCCCACGTTCTTAAAGAACTGCCGGCCCACATTGGGCGCGAGCGTGTCCTGGTTGCCCAGGAACAGGCAGTCGTAGAACGCGCTCTTGTCGCCCTCGCAGCGCAGCGCAATTGCCTGCCCCGCCCTGGGCCCCGCCGTGTTCAGGAACGTGATGCCCATCGCCGTGAACTCGTTCGCGTTGATGCCTGCCAAAACACCAACCCATGCGACATTCCGTGTTACCGCGACGGTAGTTACACGAGAAAAGAGCCAACAGAAAGCGGAAAACGGAAACTCTGCGCGATGCGATCGAAGAGGATGAGCAATCACCGACAGAAGGTGCAACGTACCGACAGAGGCGGAGTCAAAGACGGTGGATCCCTTGGCGGGGCTATCGTCGAACGCGATCTTCGTCAGCCTGGGCCCTTCACCCAGAAAGATGATTCGGTCCTTGCGTAAAGTGACCTTCTCCTTGTACACGCCCTTGGTGATAAAGATCACCTTGCGCCTATTCTCCAGCATCGTCATCTTGAGCTCGTCCATCACTTTCTGCGCACGCGAGACGCGGAGGCAGCAGATGCGAGAGGCAGGAAAGATGCATGCATGAGCAAGGAAACAGCAAGTTACCAAGACACAAAGCAGTCAAAGGTGCAAGGATGCTTAAGAAGGTGAAACCAGCCACGTGAGCAGTCGAACGGGCCCGTAAACCCCACTGGTGTCAGAGCCTCACCTGCACCGTGTCGTAGTGGCCGCTCTGTCCGTCCTTGGACACGACGTAGTCCGGCCTCAGCGAGGGGAGCTTCAACGTCGCCGACGCCGTGAACACGTTCATCTGGGGGTGAGCAGAAGGGACGGATTCCACCGCCACGCCGGGTCCGGCAACCGGCGCCTTGATGCCCGGTGCTGCTTTCGGCAACGTCTTCGGTGCCGTCTTAGGCGCGACCTTGGGCGATGCGGTAGTGGGGGTTTTAGGGGCGGTCTTAAGAGGGACCTTTGGCACTGTCTTTGGTGCGGTCCTGGGGAGGGTCGCAGGGGATGCCTTGGGAAGGGTCTTAGGGGCGACCTTAGGAGCAGCCTTAGGGGCAGTTTTGGAAAGAGTCTTAGGAGCGGTAGCAGGAACGGTCTTTGGAGCGGTAGCAGGAACGGTCTTCGGAACGGTAGCAGGAACGGTCTTTGGAGCGGTAGCAGGAACGGTCTTCGGAACGGTAGCAGGAACGGTCTTCGGAGCGGTAGCAGGAACGGTCTTTGGAGTGGTAGCAGGAATGGTCTTAGGAGCGGTAGCAGGAACGTTAGGAGTAATCTTAGGAGCCGTCTTTGGAACAGTTTTAGGAGCGGTCTTTGGAGCCGTCTTAGGAACGGTCGAGGGAGCAACCTTGGGCACGGCCTTTGGTGTGGCTTTGGGTACCGGCCCAGGAACAGTAACGGCGGCGGTATTGGCTAGCGGAGCTGACGAGGGAGTAACTTCGAGTTGGCTGATGATTGCAGCGTTCAGTGCGGGAGGCGTTGGCACGACGAGCGTGCGCCCGCGGTTTGCCTCCCAGTGCTGCGAAAAGTTACTTGGAAACAACTCGCGAAGGATGCGATAGTGGTGTCGCATAAAGTGCTGCAGCTCTCGCAGCTGCCTCTCCTCGTTGTCGTCCACCCAATCTGGGCGACCCTTTGTGTCGCTCGCGGACGTGCCGGCTGTCGCACTCGACACTCCCATGCCTCGCAGCAACCTCTCCGCCCTCCGGTTTATCTTCCCGCCAATCAACTTCCTCCCTCCGCGGCGCACGTTTTCGACCTCCTCCGCGCTTCCACCGAACTCCGCAATCACAGCCGCCATATCCTCACTGATGGTTTCCATCTCAGGAATACGATCGGTGCTTCCTTGCTCTCGCTCCAGCGCCTTCCTTCCCGCACTTTCCGCCGCTAGCTCCGGGGGCTCCTCGCCATCATCGTCGTCGTCATCCTCCACGCCTCGGAGGGACGCGACGACGGATAGCGCGTTCGCGATGTAATCCTTGCACTCTTTTCCCAGACCCGTGCTCATGGATCGAGACACAGTAGCCATGGCGCTAGCGCCGGTAGCAGCGCCTGTCGCGGCGGTGAGCCCCGCGCCGTCTTCACCATTGAAAGCGGCGCTTGAAGCAGTAACACCGGAGATAGCGAGCTTGACGGAGGGGGTGACGGGAGCAGAGGCTGCAGTGAGCGCGGCGGTGCACTGCGAGGTGAGCGCAAGCGCGGCCGAGACCCAGTGCGCTTGGCCTTCAGGCTCGTCGTTGGAGCGGAGAGACTCGTACGCCTTGACTAGGTAATTGGAAGCCATGTCCAGCTGCAGCACGGAGATAAGGCGACGAGCGTGAGTCAGAAAACAAGGAACAAATCATCTTGAGATTTTAGACGCGGTTGCATCGTGGGAGGATGTATGGCTCACCTGGTCGATGCAATCACGCGCCACCAAACGTTCCGGTTTTCCGCTGTCCGTGTCGGCCTCCAGCGCCGCTACTTGCCCGCGCAGGCCACGCACTTCCGCCTCCGCGGCCTCCACCGCCAGCGAGGTCAGCAAATCGCTGGTTCGCGACGATCCCTCTGAAAGAGAACGGCCTCGCACGGCATCGCTTGCACGGGAGCAGATGGCGTGTTGACAGAGAGCGGGATCGTCAGCGACTTTGCAGAGAGAGACGGCTTCCTCAGGGCATTCGGCATGCGCCAACAACGGCGCGCAGAAAGCGGATACGAGAGCGAGCACGAGAAAAAGCGGTTGCACTGAGGCTCGACTCGACTTGAGCCGCGTCATGGTTGGATGGGAAGCGGAGGTAGCTACGCGAAAAGCCACTTCGAGACACCTTGACGACGGTCTCACAAGTTACCAAAAATTTAAGGTGGGCGACAACTCCAGACACGACTCAGGCAATTCGCTGATGTGGTGAACTTCGTGAAGCTCTTTAGCCACCGATATGGGTATCACACTCCAGTGACGCGATGGCGACGAGGAGCAGCCACCGACGGGACAGCCCCACTGTAAGAGTGGAGGAGGGTACTTGCAAGTAATGAGTACTGTTACGCTATGTGTGAGGAGCAACAACGTGGGGCAGAATTTGAATTTGAGGAATTCGGGAGAGCGTGTGCGTGTGATATCATGCCCTCGCGCCGCACGGATTGCGATGTTCGCTGTGCATGTGCGGGATGGCTTGGTTGAGAATGGGCCGATCGCGCTTCGTTTACGGGGCAAAGTGCCGTACGTCGCACCGCTTTCCGCGCCGCTTTGTCGGAGGGCAGGTTATGCAACAGTGGTTCCCAACCAATTTTCCAATTTGTGGCCCGTCAACCAGCTTCCATCTCAATGGGCGCGCTATTTGCCCGCTCGTGCGCTGGAGGCGCCTTGAAATTCTCCACTTGCCTTGTCAAACACAACGAAAGCCGCGGCGCCACGGTGGAGATGTGAAATGGGTCGCCAAAACTGGCTCGTGAATTCGTCCAATGACGGCGGGACAAGATGGACGTGAGCTGTTGAACGGTCGGAGGGTGTGAGTGCCGAATCGTTGGCTATCACGGGTGCGTCAACGAGCAAGCTTTGATGGTAACCAGACGAACAACGTTAATCTAGATTTATCTGAGTGGTATAGAAAGGCTATGAAGAAGTATATGTAACTCATCTTCCCTAAACGTTATATATTGAATTGTCTATATTTCATATTCAACTCCTTTATCTGTAAGTGCTGGAAATATATGTCATTATTATGGCCAGGATTCTCCCATATAAACAACAGCGATCATACTCAAATTGGTGTGTATTGTGTTCGTTAGAATCATGCACTACCCTCCTCCATTTACCTAGTTCATTCGCCCTGCACCTAAAAAACAAGCACGTCTAATTAAGATAAGACAAAAAACAGTATAGGCACTATTAAGGTGTTACGTAAAATGGTATGGTTGCGATTAGATGTTATTACTGATTAGTTTAACTCTGGTCTGCATCGGTAGGCCCCCTACAAATTCGTTTCTGGTATGTATGCTGAGTCTGAATTGTGCTTGTCTATAAGCTAGTATGTGCTCTTATTATAACAAACACTACTGATTAGTGTGTACTCTTCAATTCAGGTGACTCTTGTTAACCAATTGTAAGGAAAAAACCTTTTCCTTACAGGGGTTTATGTCAGATTTATATGACATAGCTGTTGTAGGCTATAGTGGGGTAGCACATATGGGGTACGACTTTCTAGGGTTTGTACTTGTACCCAACTTTCCCTTAGTCAATTCATTCTCGTTCACTTTCTCATGGTATCGAGCAGGTTCCCCTGTGGGAACTATTCCTAGGGCCCACCACCTTTTTTTTCCTGCCCGGAGCGCACTCTACTCTGCCCGAGTCGCTCTCCCCTCTTTCGACCCTGTCGCGCCGCCTTAGCGGCCCCGTCGCGTCGCCCTCGCGGCCCCGTCACGTCGCGCCGCCCTAGCGGCCGCGTCGCGCCGCCCTCGCGGCCCCGATCCGCCGCCCTCGCGGCCCCGATCCGCCGCCCTCGCGGCTCCGTCGCGTCGCGCCGCCCTCGCGGCCCGTTCGCGCCGCCCTCACGGCCCTTTCGTGCCGCCCTCGCGGCCTCTTCAAGCCGCCCTCGCGACCCCCTCCTAGCCGCCCTAGCGGCCCCGTCGCCTACCCCTGCGGCCCCGGCGCCGCCCTACCGGGCCCTAGCGCCGCCCTTCCCGGCCCCGGCGCCGCCTCTACGGGCCCCGTCGCCTACCCTGCGGCCCCGGCGCTACTCTTCCCGGCCCCGGCGCCGCCTCTACCGGCCCCGCCGCCGTCCCCACGCGGCCCCGCCGTCACCACCAAGCCGCCAGCGCCGCCGAGGTACTTCCGAGCCGCCCGAGCCACCAGAGCCGCCCGAGCCGCCGCGCCACCTGAGCCGCCCAAGCCGCCGGGTCGCCGAGCTGCCGAGCCGCCGTACCGCCGAGCCGCCCGAGCCGCCCGAGCCGCCAGAGCCGCCGACTCGCCGAGCCGCAATTGTCCGAGCCGCCGTACCGCCGAGTCGCCCGAGCAGCCAGAGCCGCCGAGTCGCCGAGCTGCATTTCCTGCCTAGCCGCCGAGCCGCCCGAGCCGCCCTGTCTAGTAAGAGCAGCGCCTCTGTCACTGCACTGCCCTTACCCTACTGTTCGCGCTGCTAGTCTACTTCTGTCATGGCTACCCCTAGTGTCCTCGCTTTTGACGCTGAGGGTCGGGCCATTGACTTTGACGTCTGGGTAGATGACCTGCAGCTTTTCCTAGAGTGCGATAGGGCAGACGCCCTGCGTCTCGCCCTGCGTCGCGACGCTCAGCAAGACCTCCAGTAGGACCAGTGTAAGGAGAAGGAGCAGGCAGTGGGGAGGCCGGCTGTAACTGTAACTGTGACGGTACAGGCTGTGGACACTCTAAGGGAGGAGGAGGACCAGTAGAAGGCGGAAGACCAAGAACCTGCTGAAGGAGCGGAACGAAGTACGGCCGAGGCCGCGTGGCAACTCCAGACACAGCAAAGACAGCACCAGTACCCCCAGTGGTAGCACCAGTGCCAGCAGCACCTCCAGCTCCAGCACCCCCAGCAACTCGAGTAGCTCCAGGACCTCCAGCAGCACCAGTAGCACCCCCAGTAGGACCGCCTCCAGGACGTACACCAGTAGCCTCAGCGCCAACACCCTCAGCAGCTCCAGCTCCAGTCGTACTCGCAGGCCCAGCAGCTCCAGTACTCCCAGTACGAGCACCTCCGGGACCCGCGACACCAGCACCCTCAGTATCCGAAGAACCTCCAGCTCCAGCAGCACGCCTCCAGTGCCGGGCAAACCACTCGCGCAGCTCCTGTGGAGAGAGTGGCTCCCGCCGAGACGAAGTACCCGGAGAACCTCCAGGCACAGTACCGCCAGACGCGACACGAGCAGGCCCAGCTCCCTCAGGCTCCGCACCCCTAGGCTCAGCACCTCCAGGCGTAGCACCCCCACGCTCAGCACCCCCAGGCTAAGCACCCCCAGTAATAGCACCCTCATGCTCAGCACCCCCAGACGTAGCACCCCCAGGCTCAGCACCCCCAGGCTCAGCACCCCCAGTAGTAGCACCCTCAAGCTTAGCACCCCCAGACGTAGCACCCACACGCTCAGTATCCCAAGAGTCAGCACCCCCAGGCTCAGCACCCTCAGCAGCACCAGAGTCACCAGCAACCTCGACAGGCTCGACTGCGTCTACCTGGGACACACCTGAAGGGGCAGGACCCTGAGGGGGGAGGGGGTCTACCGGGGGGGGACCTAGTACAAGGAAGAGCGGTGGCAGGGGGAGGGACGGAGTGCGGTAGGGGAAGAGGCGGTAGTAGGGGACCGACTCGTCAAACGTGACGTCCTAGGAGGACAGAACACGGCGAGAGGTGGGGTGGTAGAACTGCCACCCAGGCGCGTCACGGGGGAAGCCAAGGAAGACGCAAGGAGTAGCACGAGGGGAAAGCTTGTTCGCAGACAAGTCGCGAACAAACGCTCGAGATCCCCAGACACGGAACGCAGACGCATCGCCAACCTTCTCGGTCCACAGCAAAGCTAGGGAGGTCTCCCGCATGGAGACCCTGGGCTGAAGGTTGATCTGATGCGCCACGTACCGAACCGCAAACGGCCACAGAAATGGGGGGTAGCCGCATGCATCATGGACGTACGGGCGACGTCCATGACCATGCCAATGCGGCGCTCAGCAATCCCATTTTGCTGTGGAGAGTCCGGAAGCGTGAAGGTCTGACGAATGCCTCGTGCACGACAGTAGGCTCGTAGAAGGCCAGAGGAGAACTCTCCGCCTCTGTTAGAGTGCAGACGCAGAACAGGAAAGTCCGAGCCAAAGCTCTGCCTGAGCTGGAGACGAGCTGCGCGGATCCAGTCGATCAACACCGCAGTGACATCACCCTTGCTGCGCAAGGGGAAGACTGTGGTGTAACGCGAGTAGTCGTCAACCACCAGCAGGAAGTAGCGCTCGTGACCCTGTCCACGGACGCGGGCTGGGCCCCACACGTCCATGTGAAGCGTCTGCAGCGGGGCCTCTGTCGGAGGAAATTGGGAGGAGTGAGGGGCAGCACGCTGCCGCCCCTCGACGCAAAGGACGCAGGCAGGGGCAGGCCCCGGGGGAAGGGGAGGGAGGGACCGGGGAAGACCAGAGACAAGGACACGGGAGGCCTTGCATCGGAGACGAAGCAGGGAGGGGTGACCAAGGCGGTGGTGCCAGAGGAGAGTCTCGTGAGACAGGAGGCGACACGAGCAGGGGGTAGACTCAGGACCAGACCTGGACGTTGCAGCAAACACCTGACCCGACGCAGCTACCTGACCAGACGCAGTGACAGGAGGAGACTCATTGGTCAGTGTGTACAGGCTCGACCCCGGCCGACGTGTAAAAGTGGCCACGTGTCGGCCTGTCCGAGCGTCCGTGCAGTGGGTCACCCGCTGACTCGCAAGGGTGAACTGGTGAACCCCCGCATCCTGTAGGTCAGCACCACTCACCAAGTTCGTAGAGAACAAGGGGAGGTAAAGACCAGACAGGGTGCCAGAGGGGGCCGCCGGACACGGGAGGACAGTGGAGAAGTGAGCAAGGACAGGACCCACAGAGGGGTCTGCCAGAGAGACTGCAACTCGCCGACCAAGCGGCGTGAGTGTGGTGCGGTCTCGAAAGAAGGAGCGAGAAGCCCCCAAGTCAAGGGTGAAGGTGTGGGAGGCCGAAGCCGACGCGGTGCCTGAGAGAGCAGACTCATTAGCACCCGAGGAAGCAGACGCACTGGCACTCAGAGCAACAGCCTTGCTAGCACCTAGAGCAGC